TATCTGAATGATCTCATGGTGGGGTCGGGGTGCGGCTGAAGAGCAGAGTGCTGGCCTAGCCCAGCACTGGAAAAATGTAACAACATAAACACTCGCTTTATCCTCAACATCTCCCTGCCAGGCCTGACCATTTTCCCTGAGAGCAGAGACTGCGATTCAGAGCTAGGCAGCCGTCTCGGGTCACACAGCTTATGCTGGCAGCTTCGCAGGCCAGTCCTCTCCCTCGCATCTGTTCCCCTTCAGCATCTGGCCTCACCCCACTGCCAGCCCCAGCCCTGGTTCCAGGGAAGGCTCATGCCCAGAACTAATCAGACCCGGAAGGGAGAGAAGTCCTCTGTTGTTGTATTCAGCTAAGAAGTCAGGGGTTATTGTTGTTGTGGGTTTTATTTTGTTTTTGCAGTGTTGGGGAGGAAGCCCAGAGGCTCCTGCATGCCAGGCAAGTGCTCTACCACCAAGCCACACCCCCAGCCCAGCTGGGATCTCTTAAAAAGGAACTTTTAGTAGGAAACCACACATACACACACACACACACACACACACACACACACACACACACACACACACTTTTAATAAAACTCCTCCCACTGAGCGGTCACTTCCTTTCATCTGAAACCAGCAGGTCGACACAGGGTGGGGGCACAAGCCTGTGATCCCAGCACTTGGGAGGCTGAGGCAGGTGGATTACCTAGAGTTCAAGGCCAGCCTGGGCTATAGAGTAAGTTCAAGGCCAGCCTGGACTACATAAGGAGACTCTGTCTCAAAAAAACAAAAAGAAAAGAAAAAGAAAACAGGAGATGAGCTAGATGATCTCAGAGATTCTTATCTGCCTCTGCCCCCTACCCTGTGATTCCACGAAGGTTTTCAGGGAGACAGTGGGCTGATGAATTCTTAGGGGACACAGGACCCTAGTGACAGGCTAAGGGAGAAAGAGAGGGGACAAGGTGGGTCTGCAGGCTAACTAGCACCCTCCCTCATCCCCTTTCTAAATTGACCTTGGAGGTTCAAAGGCACAAAGAGGAGACTTGTCTCAGTATTTCTGCCCCTCCTTTCCAGAGCCTCTGATGACCCTGACCAGGCTGGAGCCATAGGCCTAGAAGCTGGGGTCCAGACCTGTGTGCTTCCTGTTTGAGGAAGAGTTCGGAGCCAGGTGTAGGGCTGCCTTTCTGTAATTCCAGCACTCTGGGAAACTGAGGCAGAAGAATCCCATGTTTGAACCCAGCCTGGGCAATTTAGTGACTTAGTGAGAACCTGGCTGGAAACAGAAGACTTTTTTTTTTTTTTTTTTTTTTGTACCAGGGATTGAACTCAGGACCTTGCACTTTCAAGGCAGGTGGCAGCACCACTAAGCTACATCCCCAGCCCCAACAGAAGATCAAAAAGTGGTGGTGGGGGAATGTAGCTCAGTGCAAAGACCCTGGGTTTAATCCCCAGTCAAAAAAGAAAAAAAACAAAATGGCTTCTGTCCCCTCTCTTGGCTTCAGCTTGGGCCGACTCCCTGTTATGACCTCTCAGGGTCTGCCTGGACCGTGGTCCCCACCTCCTGCCACAGCTCTTCTGGAAAGCCCCATTCAGCTGCTGACACAGGAAGGGACATGGAGCTGGGGGCGAGTTCCTGCAAAGCCCAGGCTCTGGGCTGTAGCCCTAAAGCCCCAGTCATTTCCCTACCCCCCTTGCTGGGAGGCCGCGGTTTCATCATGGCTCAGTCCTTGTCCTTATAAGGCCAGGCCACAGCTGGCTGGGGAGCCAGACACCGCCCCCAGGGCATCCTCCAGCTGCAGGAACAAGGGGAGCCCGGGGCCCAGCCCCTGAAGTCACAGACTGGCAGAAGGCTCTCCGTACGGCCCCAGGGCATCAGTTCCCAGATCAAGACACTCCCTTTGGTCTTCCAGAAAAGTTGCTTAAACCTCAGTTTCCTCCATTGTCCTCATGAGGCCACTGTGATGACAGGGACCAGTAGGCCAGCAAATAGGTGCTCTGTGATCCTGAGCGCTGGACTTGATTCTGCATTTTCTACCAGCCTGACCATGGACCACCTGGCAGATGAGGGAGCGTCTGTCTGTCCAATGTACAGACGGAGAAACTGGGGCAGGCTTGGCCGGAAGTCACCCCTAGGCTGTTTGCCTGCTGGGGTGGAACCAGGGCCCAGGGTTTGAACCTAGGTATGTGCAACTACAAATCTAAAGTCATGGGTTTCCTACTTAAACCCTGTTGTTTCCTACAGGGAATTTTATTTTTCAATAAGATTATGGCAACAGGGGGGAATTTCTGCCATCACCTCCCTGCCCTGTGTTCCTTCATGCAGCCTCCTGGAGCAGGGATCTCCACATGGGCAAGTTCACGTGGTTTTTTTCTGGTGGCCCCATTTGTCTGGATTGGGGGAGGCACCAAACCAGAAATCTGGTGGCTCCAGAGACACAGGATGATTCCAGGGCCCAGGCTCAGGCACAGAGAGACAATCAAGACACGGCTTTCCCACCAAGGCCAGCCTGCCCTGGTTCTGGGCCTTGTCCAAAGGCGGCCACCTTGTGGTGGGTGAAATCCAGCCCTGTATCTGCCCACAGGACTCGAGGCCACTGGACTGAAGCCTATATTCAAAAGGAAGATGCTGCTGCTTTGCCCGTGTCTCCAGTCCCCAAGCACAGAGGGAAAGAGAGTCCTCACCACATCCTTCCGCAGCCATGTGGGAGGTTACCCACGGCGTCCCAGCTGCTGCTCTCTGCAAGGTGGCCCTCAAGAGGGGACCCAGTTCCTGGGTCGGGTTGGCACTCCCATCATAAAGGAGCCTGTCAAGAGGGAAATGATTCATCTGAGGTCCCCCAGCCTCTGCTGGATGCGCACTCAGTATCACTGTCATACGCCAGGCCTGTGGCAGGAGATTTCACGCAGGACTCAAGGTCACAATCACAGTTGACAGGTTCCAGGTCAGGTGCTTCCTGTTCTATTGGCCAAGGGTGGCTCTGTCCAGTGGCCCTCAGAGAAGGGCCAGCCTTTGGGAAGCAGTCCCCCTTGCAGATGAGGAAACCAAGGCCCCCAAGTCTGAGGCTCACTGGAAGTCCCGGGTAGGGTCTGAGATTTGGCAGGGTGGCTTAGAGCTCTGTCTGCAGGTCCAGGGTTTCCCAGAGCTTTCATGGGGTGCTGGTATGTGTCAGGGCCCCCAGACAAGAAATAGGGCCCAGACTCATCCCTAGCTGGAGAAGGTTATCAGGGTGAGACGCCCGTGGGATCTTTATTTGGATTTTAGTTGTAGGAAACACCTGTTCAGCGAAGTGCCTCAAAAGATGTTAATCAGGGGAAATCAGGGAAAGGTGCAACAGGTTTGGACCTGGTCTTCAGGTGTCTCCCTCAAATTGTTTATTACTGTCAAAAAATTTAAACATATAATCAATGCCCACCCCATACAAAAAACAAAAACCTCACCTGCCTGACAAGCACTAGGTCCTAAGTTCGATTCCCAGTACAAAAAAAAAAAAAAAAAAAAAATCAGATGTTCAAGGGGCAGAGGGCTATTGTGACTCCAGATGTGACACTCTGAGACAGGGCCAATGCTACCAGGCAATTTCCCTGCTGAGTGTCCAAACCCCAATCTAATCATGGAGAGCTTCAGACAAACCCCCAGTTGGAACGGTCTATCCGAGGGGTGGATGTGGGGAGGTCCTGGATTCTTTCTTCAAAATGTCAATGTCATGAAAGACAGACTGTGGAAACATCTCAGGCTAAACGAGATGAAAGAGTAATGACAATTGCTGGGCATGGTTGTGCATGTCTGTAATCCCAGTACTGTGGGAGGCAGAAGCAAGAGTGCCACAAGTTTAAGCCCAGCCCGGACAGTTTAGTGAAACCCAGTCTCCAAAAAGTGAGAACAGGGTGGGATGTAGCTCAGTATGAATGTCCTGGATTCAATCTCCAGGGCCACAAAAAGTAAGGGGTGGGAGAGAGAACTTTTGTACGTGATATTTAATAATACATGGAGGAAATCTATAATAAAGGATATTATTGGGTCAAATGACACACTTCTTCCAGTAGCTTCCCTTGTTTCTCTAGGCCTGACCACCTCTCAGACCATGGTCACCTGCTCTTTCCCATGATCCCTGGCCACTCCATCACCTCCCTTCCACAGGGCTGCTTTCAGTCCTCCTGCTAGCTTAGGGCCACCCTGCACGCAGACCCTCTCACTCCCAGTGACCTCCTGTGCAATGGGCTGTCATTCCTGTCACCCTGAAGCTTGGTGAGGAAGTGCTGGGCTGGGCACTGAGCATCTGCTCACCTGTGCCCTCAGTTTCCCCGATCTGTACAATGAGAGGGGCCAGGGATCTGGGAACGTGAGGAAAACTCAGGGGAGGTGTTGTGGCTGCTGCTGGAGTACAGCTGGAAACCTCAGGTCTCTACCTCCCATGTGTCCCCCTGCCCTCCCCCAGCTGGTCACTTGCCCTGGTTCCAGGCCGCCTACTTGCCGTCACCCAGCTTGAGACAGGGTGGGCAGTGTCCTGTCCCAGCAGCGGTGTTGGGCTAATTCCTTTTTCTTTCTGCACTTGATCTTAGCCAAAAGGCTGAGAAGTGATTCTCTTTCCTTTTCTGGGCTACATTTTCTCTTTCTGTAGCAACTTTTCTGTTTAGATTATTTCCAAATAAAAAATGTTTAAGCCTGGTGGTACACACCTGTAATTCCCACACTTGGGAAGCTGAGACAGGAGGATTACTGAGTTTGAGGCCAGCCTGGGCTCCATAGTGAGTTCAAGGCCAGCTTGGACACGACCCTGTCTCAAAAAAAAAAAAATTTTTTTTTTTAAAAAGAGAAATCATTGTTCCTTGTGACACTCAGCCCCAGCTCCTGGCAACAGATGAGGTGTAAATTCAACCAGACTCAGCTGAGGATAGACAGCATCACCACAGCCCTTCTATGGGCTCCCAGCCCATAGTGACACCACTGACCAACTGCCACCTACTCTCTGCTCCCACATCAATAAAAAGACTTAGGACAGAAGAGTTCCATGAAAACGGATTTATTGCTAAATTTCAAGAAAGGCTTTTCATAAGCAAAAGACACTGAACGCTTCCTTCCCAAGGAGGCAGAAGGCAGTGCCACTTGGCCACCTTCTGACAGGGGACACCAAGGCTCCAATTCTTGGATGCAGGTGACTTAGCTGCTGGTAGAACAAGGTTCTTCCTAAGAGAAGATGGCAGGGTTCATGTGACAGTGGGCACCTGTGACACGCCTATGACCTGCTCTAATACAGGACAGAGGGGACAGGAAGACTTCGGCCGGGGAAGCTGCTGGGGGCTTGTGAGCCATGGCAGTGTGGCTCAGGTCTGCCCCTCCTCCCTTGCCCACAACTCCCCAAAACAAGGTGACAGTACAGCAGGGATGGTGGTGGCCTACACTGGCAGGGCTCAGTGGGCACGACCGGTGGCAGAAAGGCAGACCACACTGCAGCGACCTCCTTCTCCTCCAGTAAATGAAAGTGCACATGCAGAGACCTCCAGGTCTGCCCAAAACACACACCCTGCCCCGCAACCAGGCTCCACACCAGGCCCACATGTGTTCCCAGAGCCAGGGACTGGACAGAGGGCACTGGGAAGGGAGCAACATGGGAAGAAAAGGCTCCTCCCAACGGGAAATAAGGACAGGTAGCCCACCAGGGGCCTGGGGCAGCACGTGAGGAAATGACAGGGACACCAGAGGTGTCTGGGCCAAGGAGGAACCAAGAGATCCTGCTGGATCTTACCAGGAAGCACAGGAGGGGAGAGTGTCCTAAAGCCTGAACTGATGATGATCACACACACTGTCTGCTTACTGACCACAGTCCCCCGAAATACGCAAGGCTGGACACAGGCTGGTCCAGGAGTGGACAAATCCCCCAGACCTGAGCCTCCAAACATAGCCCCAAAGGGAGGGGGCACCAGGAAAGGAAGCAGGCACAGGGAGGGCCTCGAGGTAGCCTATGCTTCCCCACCCAGAGGCTTCCCACCTGCTCAAGGCCCAGCAGGCCCTGCAGCTGTGGGTGGAGGTGGTCAGCCCAGAGTGTTTAGAGATGGGGCTTCAGGGGCTCAGCTGTGCTCTATTTCGAAGTCAGGAATGTAAACTACTGGGGGTGGGGAGCAGAGACAATGCCACCCCCAGAGCCCCTAGCACAGTGCCGGTGCCATGGTGTGGTGTGGAACAACTTTGAGGCACACAGGCTGAGCATGTGCTCCCAGCCACAGCCCAGAGCCCTGAGGCAAGGCCAGACCAGAGAGCCACAGTGACCTGAGTGTCCCTGGCACCAAGTTGGGCAGAATGGCAGGGATACTGGGGGTCTGTTCCAGTCCTGGCCAAATCCTACACACACAATGCCCTCTTAGAGCCCCGGCTGCAGAGCACGTTGCTCGTTGCTCAGCAGGGCTGGGCCTGGACAGCCTACGGAGCACTTTTCCGGTATAGCGTCACCAGCTCCTTCCGCTTCTCTCTGAGGCCAGGGGCCTCCTGGCCAGGCTCTCCCGAATCCCTCATTTCCTGCAGGACCTGGGTGGCCTGCCTCAGCTGTTCCACAGCTTGGCTCAGCAGGGTCTCAGTGTTCACTGGGGGCGACTGGCTGCCCAGCACCTCACTCAGCAGTCTCTCTGTCTGCTCCGAGGCCACCTGCACCTCCAGCTGGGCTCGGTACAGCCGATCCTTGGACAGCCGAGGATGTTGGGAGCCATCTCCAAGCAGGTCCCCCAGGGAGGAGCAGCGGGGGTGGAAATGAGGCGACAGGTCCTGGTGAGGCCGTGCTGGGGACACTGCTGCCTCCTCTGGAGCAGTTCCTGGGGTGCCCAAATCTCGGGAGGGCTTGGGGGACTCGGGCCCATCATCCACACCATTCACGGAAACCTGGGCAGGGGTGGAGGCCGAGGGCTCAGGGGTCCCCAGACTCTGGGTGGGCCCAGAAGCCTCCACCCGGCTCAAGCAAGCCTTCATTTTCTCCGATA